CCCGCCACAATGCCCGGCTATTTTTTGGTTGCAGCCAATTATTGTTTGGCGGGCCTGGCTGGATTCGAACCCGCCACCTTAGGTGTATGTGGCTGGCGCCTTAGCTGCTTGAGCCACAGGCGCCAAGCCCAAGATCAAGTCTTAACTTTACAGATCTCATGCTATCAAATTTTATTTTCTACAGAGGAATCTAAGTCTCAATGTCAAGACCATAAAAGACAACATACAAAAAGAACACCAAGGAGATGAGTTACTAATTTATTCCACAAAAATCCATCAGTCTTACTATATGCAATGCTTAGTCGTGGGTGGTTTTGTAAAAAAAAAAAAAAATTCTAGAAATGGGGTCTCTCTATGTTGCCCAGGCTGGTCTTAAGCTCTTGGCCACAAGTGATCCTCCTACCTTGACCTCCTAATGTTAGGATTGCAGGTGTGAGCCCCTGCTCTGCCTGTAGGTGGCTTTGAAGAGGGATGTGCCCACACCCTCAGGGGGACTGAGCCCTCCTCTTCCCCCTCCTTCTCCTCCTCTTCCTGGAAAGTTTCCATGGAAGAAGCTCAGAACCAAGTAGGATCACGCAAGATTTTATACACCAAGTATATGCAGGGGGTCGGGGGAAGAGGGACATGTAACATTAGCCTTCAACACAGCCTGGGAGCACTTTTGAGTCTGTCACAGGCAATTCAGCCATGACAAGCGAGTAAATGAGCGGGTGAATGCTGGCAACGGTATCTTGACCTCATGCACAACGTGATTAAAAACACTTTATTGCAGCTTCTCAGAACAGAACTGAGTTTACAACGCTTGGACTATCTTGGTAGCCTAAGAAGGGACTCCAGGGACTGGGGCAGAAGAGAAGGAAGCATACGCTGCTGGGAGGGTGGCTGCCTTGGGGAGCCGGAATATCCCTAAGAGCCTTTGCTGTGCCATACTGCAGAGGACCAGCAACCTCTGGCCAGGAGGCTTCCAGGGGGCAGGACGCCAGGGGCGCTGGCTCAGGGCACCATGTTCCACCACTTGAAGGAGAAGGGCTTCCGGCGCACATTGGTGCCACAGTGCACCTCCCCGTGCTGCATGTGGTAGGGAGTGAAGTCATCAATGAAGGTGCAGTGGAGGCCCAGTGGCTCCAGCAGGGATCGCACCTTCTTCTCCAGGCAGCAGTGGCCATTGATGATGGGCCCGAAGGGCTTGGGGATGCCCAGGTGGTTCCCCAGCACCAGCATATTCACCTGCAGAGGAGCGAGGTGAGAGGTCAGAGGCTCAATGTGAGCATCCCCTCCCCTCTCTGACTTTCAGAAATAATAGCCCCACTTAACAGATGAGAAAACTGAGGCTCAGCTAGGTAAAAGGGGTTTCCTAGGACCATCCAGCTATTTTAGGACTTACCCTCAAGTCTGTTACCCTCCAGGGTCCATGCCATTAATACTACACTCCCCTCCTCACCTGCCACCTTCTTGTGAACTCTTTCTATTGCTCAAGGCTCAGCTCAAATCTTAGCTCCTCTGTGAAGCTGCTTGTGACGCCCCGAATTTTAGCAGTTACTTCTCTTCTATCCTCTCCTAACTCCTATCGCCATGCCTGGGACACAGTAGACACTTAAGAAATACCTATTGAGTGGATGAATAAATGAACTTCTCTGTTGCTGCACCTTCCCTCCACGATGATTTATGTAAATAAGACCCTGTTTCCTCCATTCTATTGGGAGGTGAACCGGTGAGGTACAAAGATGAGGATTGGAGTGTAGGCTAACGTGAGTTTGAATCCCAGCTCTACTACTCAATAGCTGTGTGACCTTAAGCAAGTCACTTTACCTCTCTGATCCACATCAGCAAAATGAGCCCACATATGTGTTTCTATGGCCAGGACTAGATAAGAATGCATACACTCAGCACTGTGCTGGCACATAGTAGGGGCTCAGCACTGTTCTCCATGGATCACAGGTCCTTGAGGTGGCAGCTCACGCTCTTTTATTATTATTCAGATAAAGCCTGTGCTGAGTGCCTGGCACTGTTAACATCTCTGCCTGTTCTAAACCTCCCCCAGCTCCCACTGCTGGCTCCTGGGAGAGAATCTTGTCTCGTGCTCCGGCTCCCTCCTGGGACAGGGACAGTAAAAACATAGAGTCAGCCCTTAGCTCTGCTGATGAGGAGACACCTCTTCTCCTCAGCAACCGTGTAGGCTTTTGTGCCTGTGCTGGGAAGCCTGGCTTAGCTCAGCCACAGAGGAAATGCTTGGGCCCAAGGAATTTTATTCAAGAGGTAAAGGGGGAGGTGCTCCCCCACTCCATCTTCTTTTGGCCAAGGAACTCTTTACTCTAAACTAAATCTTTTGTAGAAACTTGCTACATAAAACAGACAAAATCTGAACCAGAGGCACTGCCTTTGGAACCCCAGGGCCCTGGGGAAAATCCAGTCTGAAAACCACCATGTTAGGGATTGCTGGGTTTTCCCTGGACTGTGGCCTCCAGCCCCAGAAGGAGTGGATGGCTAAGGGGCCCCAGTGGAACTGAGTGAAGAGTCTGCCTGGCCCTTGGGTGCTCTTTGAAGAGAGGGAGTTACAGGGCAGAGGGACGGTAAACATACAGGAATTGACATCAAAGTACCACTAGGCGGTCACAGTTAGAAGTCCAGCACAGAGTGGCACCTGTGCTCAGTAGGTAGGACGCCGGCCCCATATACCGAGGGTGGCAGGTTTGAACCTGGCCCTGGCCAAACTGCAACAAAAAATAGGTGTTTTGGCAGCACCTATAGTCCCACTACTGGGGAGGCTGAGGCAAGAGAATCGCCTAAGCCTAGGAGTTGGAGGTTGCTGTGAGCTGTGATGCCACAGCACTCTACTAAGGGCGATAAAGTGAGACTCTGTCTGTAAAAAAAGTCCAGGACAAAGGTGGTATCCCCCCAGGAGTTAACCCTTCAGAAGACTGAATCCCACTGAGCCCAGGCAGTGCTGGCCTCAGCCCCTCAGAGAGGCCTTCCTGGTCCCCCCAGTCTAAGGTGGTGTCCCCACAGGCATCCCCTTGCTTGACACAACCCCCACCCTCATCCCCTCCCCCCGCAGGGAAGCTTCTGGTTAGTTAGCAGTGCTGTGTGGTGGTTAGAGCCCTGTCCTGCAGGTACAGTCCTGGCTCCGACGCCAGACTTTGAATCCTGACTATTGCCACCTGTGTGTCCTTGTGCCAGAGACCTCATCTCTGTCTCTGACTCTGGTGTGTGCTAGAGACCTCATCTCTGTCTCTGACTCTGGTGTCGTTGGGAGATGGCAGAGGTGCTCTGTAGGCGGCGTAGAGTCATTGAAGCCCCCTGGGCCACCCCCAGATCCCCATCGGCCCCTCAGACAGGGATTTTAAGGCTATTCACAAAGGTGAGCCCATGGCTGCCTCCTCACCATGTTTGGGAAAAAAGCTGAAGCCTTGCGGGCCTCTCTGACATTGCCCTGGAGCCTGAAGAGCTGCGGGATGTCCACGATGTCACGCTCTGTCAGCCCCAGCTCCCGCTTCAGCACCTCGCGGTTCCAGCTGAGGCAGCTCTGGGCAGAAAGGAAAGAGGCAGTCGGTGAAGGCCCAGTGCAGGGCTGAGGCCCCTGGCCAGGGGAAGGACCCAGAACAGAGGTCACAAAGCAGTGAGGGTGTTCGCCAGCATGCGACTCATGGAGGGCTCCTGACTTGTGCCCCTGATCCCAGGGAAGGTGGTGGGCAGGGGTGTCAGGGCTGCCGGGGACGTGGCCTCTCCTGGCCAGTACCTCCACGTATGCGTTATGGTCTCTCAATATCTTGTTTGACAGGATGTTCTTTATCTTCTGCTGTTTTCTTTCTGTCATGGAGAAAAGGGGACAGGGGAAGGCAAATGACTTCAGAGGTTGAGTTCCCTCTTCTCAGCAGGTGTTGGGGTTCAGTGTCCCCATCTGTAAAACGGGGGCAGTAATCCTTCCTAAACTACAGGTTTGTTGTGAGCATCTGTGAGGCAAATACCTTGAATAAAATATTTTATCGGTGCAAGTTCTCATTAAAAATGTTCTCCCTGGCTCGGCGCCTGTGGCTCAAGCAGCTAAGACGCCAGCCACATACACCTAAGGTGGCGGGTTTGAATCCCCAGCCCAG